TGTTCCAACTTTCAGGATAGAATTTGTCTCCGAGGACTGGAAGAAGACAGACATTACTAAAGCAGCTGAGGATTGCCTATGAATTAACTCCTTTCAGAGGTTTCCTCTCTTCCCCTCCCCCCCACTCACCATGCAGGCAGTGGGAGCCAGAGCAGCCCAGCAGCCTGCACTGCCCTGCCCTGCCACCCTCTCACAGCCTGCTGTATGTGGCTTCTCAGCGGTGGCAGGAAACCGTGTGCCCTACCCCGGGCACTCCACTTCCCCCCACCCCCAGAGAAGCAAGGCGCAGTGGGCTGGGAGGGTGGTGCGGAGGGGCTGCTCCAGCTCCCGCCCCCTGCATGGTGAGATTTCTTGGAGGAAGGGGCATGGGGGCAGGAAAGGACAGAAGAGGGGCAGGATTTGGGGAAGTGGGGTGGCCCTGTGCCTGGGGCACTGTGGGGAAGGGTTGTCCTAGGTCCCACACCTCCCTCAGGACAGCCATGGCTGGGAGAGCAGTGGAGTCTGGTATAGTTGATACTAAAAGGAGCAATATATGTTTGCAGGTGTCCTCTGCTTCCAAGCACCTGAGGAATGCTGCTAGACATGCTAGCCAAGCCTTGATGTAGCTGCATTGCAGATAAAGTCTGCCTGTTCCTGCTAAGTACAACTATGGCTATGGGGAAAGATCTTCCAGTGTCTCTTGGAAATTGCCCCCCAACACACTTACTCAACACGAGACAGAATTTAGCTCTAAGTGCGTCAATTTACAATTTTTAGGATATGCAAATCAGAGGGGGATCAATGGAGGGGGAACCCCACCTGGGTAGCCCAAGAGAGATTAATGAGGAAGCAGTGAATTTCAGAAACAAGCTGTGCTCTATTTAAATCTGTATAATCTGTTTATCTTAATAAAAGAAAGTATCATTTGTCTTGGGGAATGAGTTTCTACTATTTGAAGACGTAAGGATAGTTTATACTCTAGTTCGAATTACCCCCAGTTTTCATGAGTGTCCAGCACATGACTCACACTTAAAATACCCTAGATGCTCATTTTAACAAATATCCAAAACATAACTACAAAGAAGATGAAGTATACAGGATAACACTTAAAAAACAACAAATGGTCCTGCAGCACCTTGGAGACTAACAAAAAATGTAGATGGTATGAGCTTTCAGATGAAGTGGGTTGTGCCCATAAAAGCTCATGATACTACCTACATTTTTTGTTAGTCTCTGAGGTGCTGCAGGACCATTCATGGTGTTTTTTTTTTCTTTTCAGTTAGGGTATGTCTACACAGCAGGGCTAAAGTTGAATTAAGCTACGTAACTTCAGCTACATCAATTGCTTAGCGTAAATCGAAACAGATTAACTCAACTTTAGGTGCTGTCTACACAGCAGGAAGTCAAAGGAAGAACACTCTCTTCCTTTGATTTCCCTTACTTCTTATAAAATGAGGCTTACAGGAGTCGGAGTAAGAAGTCCTCCAGCTCGACATTATTTCAAAATAAAGGCTTGCAGTGTAGACATGCTCTTTATTTCAGAATAACGTCAGTGTAGACATAATGCTGCTGTGTAGACATACCCTTACAAACACAGCTACCCCTCTGAGACTGTTATACAAGATAAAAAAGTGCTCTGTTACAATAAGTTCAACTAATAAATTAGTAAACGTGGAGTAAGTTCTCAAAGTGTCAAGGTTTTGTTAAAGTACCATGGAGGTGATGGGGTATATTGGGTTTGAGGAGGAATTCTGATAACAAAACGGAGTACTTTTCAATTTCTATTCCCATTTCCTGGATTTTGATGGTTTTTATTCTTTCGCTGGATTCAGAAATCCAAACCAATTAGCCGATGATGGATGGAAAGAAAAAGAAGGTTTTGGATTAAAAGAATTCCAAGAACCTATAATCTGTTCCACTAAGAATAACAAACTGCAGATGTAAGAAATCTAAAAGAGCATATTGGAGAAAAAAAAGAAACCACCTTTCATTAGTTGGGAATTCTAGATCCCTCCTTGTCTTGAAGGAATCACCAGTATATGTTTTTAATACAGTGGCATTTGTTCCAGTTCTTAAAGTTATACTGTTGTTTGCCTTTAAGACTTTGGAACACAAAAGAGAAAATGCACTTTTTTTAATGAAGTGAATCCTGACACTTTTGTTCAGCCTTAGCAGAGTTTATTCTCTATGATGTAAATGTTCAGTGAAGGAAAAAATCCATCTGTGCTTAATATTGTCATCCAAATTGTGTAGAAAATCCCTTTACCGTCCAATACTTGTCTCATTCTTGTCTGATTGCACTCTGTTTGGATCAACATTATTCTAGAAGAGTTAGGTTTAAAAATACATTTCATTTCTAAAGGCTGGCGTTGCAGTGTAGCCAGACAAACCAAATGGGAAACTTGTTTTTGCTTCATGTAAACAACTTAAAAAAGAAAGATGCACTAAATTTGGGAAGGAACTAGGGGAACTTATTTTTTAAATATTCTGATAACCCTGAGAAAACAAAGTGGTTTGATCTGTATTTATATAACATCATCATTTCATAGGAAGAGTTACTTTTTACTTCTACTTCAGGCTTTTATATTTTCAGATTCAACTAAAAAAGTTAATAGTCTCAGAGGGGTAGCCATGTTAGTCTGTAACTTTAAAAACAATGAGTAGTCCTTTGGCACCTTAGAGACTAACCAAATATACATAATAGTATCATGAGCTTTCTTGGCCAAAACCCACTTCCTCAGATGAGTTTTGCTCATGATATTATATATATTTTTGTTAGTCTCTAAGGGCATGTTTACACTACGAAATTATTTTGAAATGAAATAACTCCTGAAATAACTATTTAGAATAGTGTGTCCACACTACAGGGAAGCTACACTACAAGCAGTTATTTTGACATGTCAATATAATGTTGAGCTAGAGGACTTCTTACTCCGACTCCTGTAACCTCATTTTACGAGGAGTAAGGGAAGTTGGAGGAAGGGTGCTCTTTCTTAGACTTCCTGCTGTGTAGACAGCGCCAAAAGCCGAAATAAGCTATTTCAACTTCAGCAACGCAATTGATGTAGCTTAAGTTCCATATCTTATTTTGGCTTAATCCTGTGGTGTAGATATTCTGGGTCTATGGTTCTGGGACAGTCTACCATTGCAGCTTACCCCATTTCCTGTCATGAAGAACCTTGACATTTTTGAATAGTGATAGAAATGTAGCCGTGTTAGTCTGGTGTAGCTGAAACAAAATACAGGACTATGTAGCACTTTAAAGACTAACAAGATGGTTTATTAGATGATGAGCTTTCGTGGGCCAGACCCACTTCCTCAGATCAAATAGTGGAAGAAAATAGTCACAGCCATATATACAAAAGGATACAATTTTTCATTTTTTTTAAATTGTATCCTTTGGTATATATGGTTGTGACTATTTTCTTCCACTATTTGATCTGAGGAAGTGGGTCTGGCCCACGAAAGCTCATCATCTAATAAACCATCTTGTTAGTCTTTAAAGTGCTACATAGTCCTGTATCTTGACATTTTTGGATTTTGTTTCAAATTGGAACTAAACCAAAATTTCAAAATATCTGCCACAACAGGAAAATTACATTTCTCTATACAGCTCAAATAAAATACAGCCTCTCTCCGACTTAAGAACTAGTTACAGACCATGCAATTGGTCGTAACTCGGTTTGTTTGTAAGTCGGACCCCATAGAGTTACACTCGACCACGCTGTTCGAAAGCGCGGATCGCGTTCGTAACTTGGGGTCCGCCATTTGCAACAGCTTCGGTCGTAACTGCAAATGGTCGTAAGTCGACCGTTCGCAACTCAGGGAACGGCTGTACCTTTGTAACTGAACCCCGTCCTACTAGTAAAGGGGCATTGTTATTTAGCAGATAGACTGAGAGACAGGAGTGCTAAGTTCTTTTTTCAGTTCTGCTGAGTCACCTTGGGCAAATCACATAACTTCTGTCTTAGTTTCCTTGTCTATTAAGTAGGATAATCTTATTTCCTTCTCTCACAGGAATGTTGAATTTTCATTCATTACTTTTAAAGTGTTTTGAGATTCTCGTATAAGAGGTTATAGAAGAACAAAGTAGCAATATTGGTGCTGATGATACGAGAAGTACAAAAATAACCAAAAACTGTTTAAAAAAAGTTTACCCAGAGTGTGTATCTGTCATGTTTATGAGGAGATGTGACCACAGTGGCCAAATCTAGAAAGTATCATTTTTAAAGGGATTGGAGAAAGGTTTCTTAGCAAGCAATAAAGTTTGGCTAGATATGGCAAAACTGGCTAATTTGCATGAACATCCTCAATATTTGTGTGTGTGTGTGTGTGTGTGTGTGTGTGTGTGTGTGTGTGTGAGAAACCTTTATCTTCCTGCTATGGTACATCAGCTGTTCTGCAACACTCTGTCACAAGAATGATAAAATAATATCTTAGGGTATGTCTACACTACCACCCTAATTCGAACTAGGGTGGTAATGTAGGCAACTGGAGTTGCAAATGAAGCCCGGGATTTGAATTTCCCGGGCTTCATTTGCATAAAGCCGGGCACCGCCATTTTTAAATGTCCGCTAGTGCGGACTCCGTGTCGCGCGGCTACACGCGGCACGGACTAGGTAGTTCGGACTAGGCTTCACGAGGAGTGATGAGGAGTAACGTTTCACGAGGAGTAACGGTAGTTCGGACTAGGGAAATATATTTTAGTACATTTCAATACAAAGATGATGTTGTTTCAGTATATTAATAAGGACAGTATTTGCAATTTGCAGTATATTGTGTAAAATAATGTTTGGGCCACAAATGGTTTACCAGCTGCTGAAGTGAAGAAGAAACTTCCATTGTGTTTACAGTATCACACAGTTGAATGCATTCATGGGTTTCCGGCATGCTCTGAAGCAATAAGCATTGGCTGATGTTAGACAGTATGTTGAGGTGGAGTAAGTGCTGATATGGTTTAGACTGCAATTCCTAAAATGAATATAAATTACATGTAATTATTCTCATCTGTTCTGTTGCAGGGAAAACAGAGGCTGTAATCAAAAACTTCAGCCCACACTACCAACGCCAGTATGCTGTTGCTTTCTGTGAGCATGTACAAAATGAACTGGAACAGCATCGAGACTTTCAGTCTCAGTTCCTGAAAACCAAGGTAATGGGAGCTTTGTGGGGAATCTTGTACTTTAAGTTCTATGATGATGCTTCACAGCTCTGCTCTGCTAGCACAGACACAGCCAGGCCCTATTAGCATAACTACCTTAAATATACACAAAATGTGCTCTGAAACTCAAGATTATATGTGTAATCCGAGGAAGAATTTCAGAAATACTGAGCACCCACAGTTAAAGTCAGTGGGAACAGCACATACACAGAATCTCTGAAAATCACAGCCAACGTATCCTAACTGCAATGCATATATAAGAAACTAGATTTACCCAGCGTTGCTCTGGTCCTTAACTCAATTTTTGTTTTCCTGAAAATGAAAATAAAAATGTGCATGTTTTATTAGAATCATGGGTATGAGGGGTATGCGGGCTGTGTATGAGGGGTATGCAGGCTGGGTATGAGGGGTATGAATGCTGCCCTGGAGACAGATGACTGACTACTCCAGCCCTCTGTTAACACAGCAGCTTGGGATGAGGCGAGAAGCGCGTGTCCATGGCCACTGCAGCTCCAGCAGACACAGCCAGGGGAGAGGTGCATTTCTTCTGGCTGGGGGATAGACAGACAGACAACCAAACTCTCTGAAATATAGTAGCTTAGCCTTCTCTTTCTCTATCTCTGTCACCTGCTGGCCCAGTGGGGTTATAGCTGTCCTGATCCCCATCTCTGGCCCCTTCCTGCCCCTCTGTAGTCATTCTGCAGTGTAACTCCCTCCTGCCAGACCCCTCCCTTTGCATGTTATGAGAAGCAGTTGAATTCCTCACACATCCCATTATCCCTGCACAGCCAACCCCTAACTTTGCTTTATGATATGATAAGAGGAAGATGCATTTCAGATTTGGTGGCCCTTGCTCTTATCATTTAGGAGGAGTTCGTGAATGAAAGGACTCCCAGACAGACAGAAAGATACACATTTCTAAAACAGATAATAAAGAGATAAATAATGTATTTTATGTTGTCCTTGTTAATAGTTTTGTATATCTTTTTAATAGTCTTGAAATTTGCACACAAACTATGATCTGTGCATGATAGGGGTAGAGCTGTAACAAATTTGCAGGTGCTGATGCAGTTAGCATCTCAGAATTTTTGTTAATGTTCCATTTGGTAAAAATGTGAAAGATGGAAATAAGTGTGATTTTCAAAAGGCCTCAAACACAGCAATTCAAGCATGTCTCTCTTTTCTCACTTAGAAAATTCAAAATGATCTGGACAAATTAGAGAAATGGTGTAAGGTAAATAGGATGAAGTTTAATAAGAACGAATGCAACGTACTCCCCTAAGGAAGGAACAATCAGTTTCACACATACAGAATAGGAAGTGACTGCCTAGGAAGGAGAACTGCTGAAAGGGATTTAGGGACTATCATGGAACACAAGCTAAACTGAGTCAACAGTGTGACACTGTTGCACAAAAAACAAACAAAAAAGCCCACATACAATTCTGGGATGCATTAACAGGAGTGTTGTGAGCAAGACACGAGAAGTCATTCTTCCGCTCTACTCTGTGCTGATTAGCCCTCAGTTGTAGTATTGTGTCCAGTTCTGGGCATCACAGTTCAAGGAAGATGTGGAGAAACTGGAGAAGGCCCAGAGAAGAGCAACAAAAATGATTAAAGGTGGAGAAAACTGAAAGAACTGGGCTTGTTAGTTTAGAAAAGAGAAGACTGAGAGTGGACATGGAAGCAATTTTCAAGTATATAAAAGGATGTTACAAGGTGGAGGGAGAAAAATTATTCTTAGCCTCTGAGGATAGGACAAGAAGCAATGGGCTTAAACTGCAGCAAGGGAGGTTTAGGTTGGACATTAGGAAAAACTTCCTGACTGTCAGGGTGGTTAAACACGGGATTAAGTTGCCTAGGGAGGTTGTGGAATCTCCACCATTGGAGCAGTTTAAAAGCAGGTTAGACAGACATCTATGCAGGATAATCTAGATGGTGCTTGGTCCTGCCTTGAGGGCAGGCGACTGAACCAGATGTTCCCTCGAGGTCCCTTCTAGTTCTAATGTTCTGATTCTATGACCCAGTCACTTGCATTACCTTTTTGGGGAAGAAAGTATTTTGGAATAAGAAAAATACTGATAGTCCGTGTTCCCTCTAACTTTTTATATCCATGTGAACTGAATGTTATGTGCACCAATATAGAGATGATCTGTGAAACATGGCCTCCATATTCATGCATGCAACACAATTAATTCTGTACATGTACAATCTGTGGTGAGGGTGGGGCTGAGGGATTCAGAGTGTGGTAGGGAGCTCAGCGTTGGAATGTGGAAGGGGGTTCAGGGTAAGAGGTAGGAGTGGGGAGTGGGGTCTGGGCAGGAGTTAGGGTGCAGGAGGGGGCTAAGGGTTGGGGTGTGGGGTTTAGGAGGGAACAAAGGTGGTGGAGGGGGGTGCATGGCTGCGGCAAGGGATTGGGGGGCAGGGCACTTACCTGGTGCAGCTCTCATTTGGTGTGTGGGGGGGGGAACTTGTGGTTCCATGTTGCTGGCATCAACCCCCTCCCCCTGAGATCTCCCTCCCTGCTGGAAAGGCTGGTGCAGAACACTGGGGCTTTAGAGGCCACAGCCTTGAACCTGGGGCTGTGGGGAATCCCCTTAGCCCAGAGTCTTGGGCTGCAGACCCTAAAGTCCCTGTCTTAATCCAGCTTTGCTGCTGGGTCTGGAGGAGCACACCTGCCTCCTGGCTGCGGAGGCACCTCTGCTGCTGGGGCTGGCTGGAGTCATGTGCCTCTGCCCTGACCACTGCAACTCCCTGCTGCTGGGGCAAGAGGAGTGTGCCTCCCCTCTGGCCCCACAGGGAACTGCTATGGCTGGGGGAGAGACATGCTCCTCCAGCCCAGCAGGGCCAGCGGGGAGCTGCCACAGCTGGGAGAGAGGGGCCTCTCTGTGTGTGGCATCCCTGAACACAGGCTTATTATGCAGCTGTATGGCTGAGCTACTTAGAGGGAACTTTGCAGGTGATTAAATATTCATTTCAATAGGGGTCATATTTGGTGGGGTGGGCAGGAATAGAACGTCTCTGACTACTTGCAAAGTTTTGTAGGCATCTCAGGATAAAGACAATACCTTATAGTGCAAATTTCTGTGGGAGAGTTAGCCATATCTATAAGCCATGCCTGTAGGATTCCATAGGACAGACCATTTCCTGTCAAACTAATTCATGGAATAATCTAAAAAAGCATGCAAGGAAGGGAAGGATATGCAGAGAAATTGACCTTCATTGAGAAAGGAATGCTAAACTAAAGATTTCATTTGGATTGACCTGGAATCACAAGTCCTCACCTCGAGAGGAATGAAATCTTATAATTTGTACTATTTATTTGGGTTGGCTATGCAAAGAGCCAGCACTCAAACACATGCATTGCCCTGTGAAAAGATATATATGCAATAGTGACAGCATAAAGTATAAACGAAAGAAACGTGAAATATTTTTGCCCATAGAACTGATTCTTTCAATCCTGTAGTTAGTCTATCTAATAAAATGGTCCTTTACAACGTAATGAAGAAAAAACCCAGGAACAATGGGCCAGCTCTGAAGTTCTAGTATTTGAAATAAAAGATCATTAATAATCTTGCTAATCTTATCACAAGGACAATTGAAAGGTTAATAAGAACTCCTCTGCCACAGAAATCTAGGAATAAGCTTTGAGAGAATTAAGCCCACTGGCATCCAACCCTCTGAAGCCATAGGAATTCAGTCATCTCAGTTACATCTGCTTGGTTCAAACAGATGATCCTTACTCTGAATTTAAAGAGAAGGCCCAAAGAACCCCCAAATGGTCCTTACTAATATGCCCTCTGGAAATTTTAGAAGGAAAACCTTCAAAATAGCCAGCAGTTGTGCAAAAGGCTTTCAAATCTGGTAACTTTCTTTTCAGCCCCCTATGGAATCTGGAATGATCTTGTATGAAGCAGAACTGTTGCATTTTGCTGAAGATCTGAAGAAATGGAAGGAGAGATATATTGTGATCAAAAACGACTTTGCAATGGAGATCTTTGAGAGCAAAGAGGTAAAGCTTCACTAGGGTGACCAGATCTCCCGATTTTATAGGAACTGTCCCAATATTTGGGGCTTTGTCTTATATAGGTGACTGTTACCTCCCATCACCTGTTCTGATTTTTCACCTGAAGTTTCACTCTTGCATATTACTAGTCCAGTGAAATTGGTGACATATGATGGGGTCTGTTGCACCTTATTCTTTCTGTTTGATGTTAAAAAATTACTGAACTCAATATACTCAAATTTGTCAATAATCTGAAAAAAGTGGATTCTAGGCTAATGCAGATGCTGTTTTATTATGAATGAGTCAAATTGTACCTGCAGCTAAGCAGACGCAACATCCATTAAGTGCTTTTAATCACTCATATATTTTGCAGGTATTCACAGCACGTCTGTCTTCCCTATGCATATCCATTGATCAACCCTTCTAAGGTGTCTATCGCTGTGATATCTAACCCAGCGATGGGCAACCACAGATCGTGAGTGGGCTGCACAAGTGTCGAGCCACAGTAGCCCGTGGCTCACCGAGGCTCCACCTGTGACCCCACAGACCTCATGTCTGTTTACTTCACTCACGCTCCTCTTGGGCACTGGAGCCCCACACTTCCTACTCCTCCCCCTCCTGCCCCGCACTTTTGGAGCGCCACGAACTGCCTGCTTCGTGCTCCATCCCCGCTTCTCCCCTTCCCTCACAGAGCTTGAAAAGCCACAAACAGCTGTTTTGCGCTATTCAAGCTCTGTCAGGGAGGGAGAGGAACGGGACGGAGCGTGAATCAGGTGATTTGTGCTGCTCCGAAAGTGCTGGGAGGAAGGGAGAGTAGTAGGAAGTGTGGGGCTCCAGCAGGGCAGGCCCACAACATTTTGGCACCTGAGGCGGGAAGCTCAAATAATGGCCGCATGTCCCCTCGCTTGGGCCAAAACTTTGAAAGGTCTCAATTCTGCCTTCTTCCTAGTCTACTCCTCTCATGGTACTGCAGAGAGAATACATATGCACCAGGGGCAGACACAATTTTCTACACTCTGGGTCCTACTGGTGCCCCTCGCCCCCAGTCTGGCACCTGAGGCGGCCGCTTCAGTTCGCCTCATAGTAAGGCCAGCCCTGGGCTCCATTGCTGCACTGTGCAAGAGGCGTGAGTGGCAGGGGAACAGCCAGGGGACCCGCAAGCTATCAGTAAAACCCCAGTGATCCAGATGTGGTCTGCAGGTTGCCCACCGCTCGTCTAACCAGTTTTTTCTGGACCTGGAAATTAACTAGCAATTTGTCTGTTAATTGCCACATACCACAGTGCAACTTTTTGTTTAGTTGGCACATTGGCCCTGCAATTGGCCCATAGCCAAACTAATTGGCCCATGTCCAGACTAATTTTAGCCATCAAACTACGTAGACAAAGTTGCACAATGCCAGATAAGCAGAACCAGAGGGCCTTTTTTGTACACACTGTGCTGATCTTACACTTAAGCATTATTCAGATTGGATGCTTTCAGGAAATAGATTTGAATTGAGATAACCAAAACTACTCTCTTTAGGGAGACTCTATGTACTAGTTCCGTGTAAATAAATTAGGGGTATGTTTATAGACTGAGACTATCAGTTTTAAAATCTTTATTTTTATTCTTTTCTCTCTCTCTCTCTCTCTCTCTCTCTCGCCCCTCCTCCCATCCCAGGCTTACCAAAAGGGAGTCAACCCTAAATATCGTATTCTTCCAACAGGAGGCAAAGTACTGACCTCAGAAGAAGATTACAATTTGCTGTCTGATAAGCATTTCCCAGACCCAGTTGGTAAGCACTGTTGTCACTGTCTGGCTTTGTGAGTTTAACATTTTTACTCCAAACAAAAATCCAGAGAGTCTATAAATAAAATTGCCAGTTGCATGCTACAAAGCATATATAGAATGACTTTTATTCTGATTAACTATAAATGGAATTTTACAGTATGTGTGTGCAGACAGAAGCATAAACTGTAACAAACTTTTGACCTTCTTTAATCTGCCCAAAAGCACAGAATTGCAGAGTTTGCAGAAGACCGTGCATCAGGACTTAAAAGGAAGGAAAATTGAGGATGGTGGAGAAGGGAGGAAATACATGCTTTTCCCTTTTCCTTAAATTATATAGTGGAGACAGTAGGAGAAAAAATGAGGATTCCCCATGCTAATTTTTTCCCATGAAAGTCCTGCTGTCTAGCCTGTATAATCTATTAAAAATTATGATTCTCCAAGGTGCCTAAACTTTGCCCATCACAGGGCTGTATATGAACGTGTCCCTTTGTACCATGGAAATGTCACCTGTGGAGATTGCAGTTTCCATTCATGCAATGCTGCAGTTTGGTCTTGGTGACCATTTTCTTGGATCAAGATGGACCAGTTCATTCTGAAACCCATACTTTTCCTAGGCCAAACCTGCACGATAAAGAAGAAATGTTGTTTGAGTTATCTTAATGCATGTATTTCTCTTGTAGCTTTAATCACAGGGTAAAAATATTTGTTACCCTGTCTGGAAAAGCTCAGAAACTTGTTTTAAACCAGATATTTCTATTTATTTATACATTTATTTCTTTAATTTTATGTATTTGTGTTTCTTTATTTAGCTTCTAATGAGAAGGAAAACACTCAAGCATTTATTCCCCTACCAAAAGAGTTTCCAGTTTACCTGTGGCAGCCCTACCTCAGACATAGCTACTACTGTTTTGAGGATCCACAAGCTCAAAAAGAGTTTAGTGCAGTGCTGAATGACTGTGTCAGACACTTAAACCATGGTAAGTACAACAATGGCTTCCTGATGTGCACCTATTACTTGTGGTTAGCCTGCTGTAAGATCCATCTTGTGGAGAAATAAAATGTTATGGGAGTCACAATCTGTCTGGAAGGTGCTTCCTTCTAAGTGCTTTGAGAAAAAAATGTAGATATTTTTCTTTCAGTGTTACAGCTCAATCCAGTTAAAATTAAACTATGTTTTAGCAAGTGTGAGCATGTTACATCTTAGTAGGAGTCAAGCTGTTACTTGACATGACTTTGTCATATGCTTGGATGAAAAACATGCTAGTCTCTTTGAAATAGTGATGCAATTCCTCATGGGAATTTAAAAACCTGTACCATAATGTAAAACCATTCAAAGAGTTTATTGGACTCCTGCTATATCATGTATACGTTGCCTACTGGACATATGATATATGCTAGCAGCAAGATGAGAATCTGAAGTGTGCTATATAACAGTGTTCTAACACTATAAAATTTGTTGGTCAAATGTCATAACAATCATATGGAAGAAATCACATTGCAATCATGATGGAGTTAGGGTTTATCTTTTCTTTGAGCAGTACTTTAATTTTGTGATTTTTCTCAAATACTTGGGACCAAAAGGCTTTTTAAAAATTATGCGTTCACAATGGCTGTGTCTCGACTGGCAAGTTTTTCTGCAAAATCATCTGCTTTTGCCGAAAAACTTGCCAGCTGTCTACACTGGCCGCTTGAATTTCCGGAAAAGCACTGACGATCTCATGTAAGATCATCAGTGCTTTTCTGGAAATACTATGCTGCTCCCGTTCGGGCAAAAGTCTTTTTCCGAAAGACTTTTGCGCAAAAGGGCCAGTGTAGACAGCACAGTACTGTTTTCCGCAAAAAAGCCTCGATTGCGAAAATGGCGATCGGGGCTTTTTTGTGGAAAACCGCGTCTAGATTGGCCACAGATGCTTTTCTACAAAAAAAGTGCTTTTGCGGAAAAGCATCATGCCAATGTAGACGTGCTTTTCTGAAAGTGCTTTTAACAGAAAACTTTTCCGTTAAAAGCATTTTCAGAAAATCATGCCAGTGTAGACGTAGCCAATGAGTATAATTGGTGGGAGTATTTTTTTACTCCCCTTATTTCGAAATAAGAATTGATACCCGCAGAAAAAGAAATAGTTTTAAAATCTTCAGGACAGAGGGACTGAGTGGGAGTATATAAAATGCTTATATTTATCTAGTGGGAGTATATAAAATGCTTGTTTGGTTGTTCTAAATTGTGAAAGTAAAATCCCTGGAAGGGCAGTGGGGCCATAACACAGATAATTGTCAGAGCCAGACTTAATGAATAATGATCAAATATAGACAGATTATTCACCATCTAAAAACTAAAATGGATTACTTTAAAACATAGCAACGTCTCTCTTAAAATAAAGCAGCCCACTCTATAGGCAGCCACTAGGGTTGCCAAGTGTCCGGTATTCAACCAGACAGCCCGGTTTTTGGGCCCCCTGTCTGGTAAAAAAAAATGCAGAAAATACTGGACATGTGCAATGTCCGGTGTTTTCCGGCTGGGCGCCTGAGGGAAGCCTGGCCGGGGCTAGGGGAGTCGCTGGGAGGCAGGGCGCAATCGGCGCTGGGAGCCTCTAGTTGCGTGTGACGCCTTGGGGAGGAGGGGAAGCACTGTATGAGCTCCTGAGCGCTGTTCCAGCACGTAGTGGAGCTGCACCCAGACTTGCTAGTGCTTCGCTGGGACCGTGTGCGGGACAGGCAGTGTCCTGGGATCTGCACGTGCCCGGGTCAGTCCCGCTCCCCGTGGGCTGATCCGCTCCCCCCTCCCAGCTGGCCGGTTCTCCTCCACTTCTCCTCCTGCTCTTCCCCGGCCAGCCCTGCTGCCCCCGCCAGCCCCGCTTCCGGTGGCCAGTTCTCCCCTCCTCCTCCTGATCTCTCCCAGCAAGCCCCGCTGTCCCCGATGACCTCCCCAAATCCTCCGGCCAGCCCTGCTGCCCCCGACCACCTCCCGCACCTGCCAGCCCTGCTTCCCGCCGGCCGGTTCCCCCACCCAATCTTCCCTGGCCAGCCCCCCACCCCAGCCCTGCTTCCCACTGTCCCCCCTCCCTCCCCATGCTTCCCGGCCAGCCGCGCCCGCCTCCCAGCCCGTCCTCCATCTGTTTTTTTTTTTTTTAAACTCACCTGGTAACCCTAGCAGCCACTGAAGGGACTGTAGGGCCCACTGATATCAATAGGGCCTTTATTAGATCGTGCCTGAAAGTTCCCTCTTGAAAGTTGTGCTTGCTTTGCACTATCAACGAAAGTAGAATGCTGGGGATTGTTGGCTGGTTTAGCGTGAGATATCAGTTGGGGATACTTCTTAAAGGCTCACCAAAAAAGATGAAGAAGCACTGACCTCACCAGTTTCATAAGGAGTTCTTAGATCCACTATTGGTTTTCATAGAGCAGTATTAAGAGGGTACGATATAATCATTACTGACAAATTTCAGCATGTAACAGTTTCAATATAGTGCTATCCAAGACCTCTGTATTTCTCTATTTAAGATTAGAAATAGCTGCAGTTTCTATAGTGGTGAATGTATGTGAAGTTTTCACTTCATAAACATTGGCTGAAGAAACAATATCACTGATTTATTTTTTCTGCAGAAAAGCTTCTGAGAATAATAGGGTATTCCATGGTAGTGATGCAAAACACTGAAGCTTACAGAAAGGATTATGTACTGGTTTTTTTGTTTTTGTTTTTTGTGGGGGCCATTAGTGCATATGCAGCTATCGTCTCATAAGAAGCACGACCAAACTCCAGAACAGAGGCTGTCATTCCCTCTTCTAATGAATTTTGACCATCCGTATCTAAAGAAATGACCAAGGAACGAGATATTCATTTAACAGCAAAAGACAGTTTAAATCCTGTCTTTGTTCACCAGCTCATATGTAAATCACAAATTCTTGTTGTGACTACAAATAATGAGAGGTTGCATATGCAAATTGGTGATTTACAGAATTTTGTAAGTGCGGCCATAGAGACCTGTTTTAAAAACTGGCCCTAAGACTCAGATTTTTAAAGGTGTGGAGGCACTAATGCACTCAGCATTGCAACAATCTAGGAGCTCAAATCTCATTTTCAAAAGGGATTTAGGCACTTAGAAGCCATAATCTCACTTGCAATTGACAATTCACAAATGTCAACTAGGCTTCTAAATCATTTAGGAGTTGCAATGATGAATGCAGCAATACCTAAATACTTCTTAAAATCTGGGCCTAAGGGCTTAACTTTTCTGTTGATTTCAATGACTTCTGGATGAGGTGCTAAATTAATTAGCTAAACCTTCAAAATATTCTCAAGTGAAACAAATGGCTTTGTATATAATGAAGGACGATTTCTAAAGGAGTTAACTAAATATGACACACAGGTCAACCACAAAATATCCTTTGAAAAGGATGCTTTTTTTTAAGCCAGCAGAGTTATCATAGTAATATTAGTGGGGCAGAATAAAATGGCATGATGGTGAGTCTTCAGATATTAAGACAGTAATTCTTAGCCTCCTCCCTCTTCTGAGATTTGGTGAATCAGATCAAATTTAATCTTAGATGCTTTGTCCTTCACTAATGAGGCATAAACGTTAGTCACATGTTTCAGGAAAGGAATAGTCAAAATGCACTGGAGAAGGTACGGTAATTTTCTGGCTGCAGTATTACACAATTATGTCCACTTCATTATTTTCATTTCTTATTTTATATGTTACTCAGAATATTTTCCCAGGGTCACTACATTTTTTTCCCCTTTACATAATATTGAGATGAAGCACCATTTTTTTTCTAGATTGGAATTCTGGTAGACTTTTTATTTGAAAAGTATGAATGATCTTGTCAAAAGCTATGCAACAGTCTTGATTTTTAATGAAAGTATAGCTTCCCTTTAGACTTGCAAAATCACTCATATGAGAATTAGCAGTTAATCACTGATTCAGAAATGAAATGATAGCATTGGTGAATAAACTTGTTTCCTAATATACAGTGGTTGTTGGAGCCATTTTTGACCCCACTCATTAAAAAGACAAAACAGTTGAGGTAATATATTTTATTGGACCAACTTCTGTTGGTGAGAGAGAGAAACTTTTGAATTCACAGAGCTATTATTTTTGAACTTAGACAGAATCCTTCTTCAGGTGACTTGAAGAAGAATTCTTTGTGAGCTTGAACCAGGGATTTGGAGCAATCACATTTTTGAATTGCTCCTCTCCAGCTCTACTCCGGCACCAATAGTGACTGCTCCAGCTCCGCTCCGACTCCGCTCCACCTCAAATTCATTTTTAACTATAAATTTTTAATTTTTAATATACATAATTAATATAAAATTTTATTTATAAATTGCACATTAGTTTTTCTTATGAAATTTTGCGGTAAAATATTTGAAATATTTTCCAAGTTTTTAATTTAATATCTCATAAACACTTTAATATAGATATATCAATGAAATTTGGTATGTGCTGTAGTGTTAGTATGTGCTATCGCTGTTCTACAACATTAATTGTTGGGAAGTAACGAGGCTACACGTTACAAGGTTGAAAATAAATATATACTTATCTAACTAATCTACACGAGTACATACTCACCTATTGGCACAAGTGTGAGAGCAGTTTGCAGAGTTGCTGGATGTCTGATAATTATCTGATTCTTTAATAAAACATTATCTTCAAAAAACTTTGTAATTTTGTATCTGTACATTAAATCTTGATTTTGGCTGAAGTGAGAATAACTGTGACATATTACATAAAGTGATAAAGTAGACGTTAATATCAATTGTTATACAATCTGAAACTTCTTGGCACCTTTAGGACTTTCTTGCTAAAATATCATTCATTCTGGATTGGAAAATGAAAAAAGAAAACTGGAGCAGTGGAGCAATCAAGGTTTTCTGTGCTCTGGCTCTGCTCCAGCTCCGGGCAAAAACCTGCAGCTTCACTGCTCCGCGCTCCAGCTCCAAAGCCCTGGCTTGAACACTCATCTTTCACCAACAAAAATG